TTGCTGGAGTGGTGGTGGGGTGGATGGGGTGGCTAGGTGATAGACACTGGGGAGGGTGTGTGCTATGGTGAGCACTGTGAATTGTGTAAGACTGTTGAATAACAGACCTGTACCTCTGAAACAAATAATATATTATATGTTAAAAAAAAAGAAGAAGAAGAAGAAGATAGTGGGAGGGGAAGAATGAAGGGGGAGAAATCGGAGGGGGAGACGAACCATGAGAGACTATGGACTCTGAAAAACAAACTAAGGGTTCTAGAGGGGAGGGGGATGGGAGGATGGCTTAGCCTGGTGATAGGTATCAAAGAGGGCACGTTCTGCATGGAGCACTGGGTGTTATACGCAAACAATGAATCATGGAACATTACACCAAAACTAATGATGTAATGTATGGTGATTAACATAACATAATAATAAAAAAAAAGAAAGAAGGAAAGAAAGAAACTCACCAACCATATGTTCCATGAGAAAGCTCCACTTATTGACATGGTAAAAGGTAAAAAGGCATCAGCATTGTTGAGAAGCTCAGTAGTAGCTATAATTTATAGCCAGGTTTCTTATAGATCTGAAACACTGAAATAATGATGATAAGATCCTGAATGAATAGAGTCCAGGTGATACTGACTGAAGGGCAGAAGCAAGGTGAGCATATTTATCAAAAATATCATATTTATTATAAATAGCAGAAAGGTCTGAATGGAAATCAAAAGTTCTTAGAGACAAGACAGATAACTAGCCAAAAAGGGTATTGCTCAGTTTTCATAATCAAAAGAAAAATAAGGATAAATGATCATGAGCCTGTGGAAACTTCTCCAGTAGAATGATCATCCCTTGCCCAATTTCTGAATTTGAACCACTTCTCAGACCCAGAATCCTGGAGACACCAGGTACCCATGAGGAAGGACTCTTAAATACCATGCAAATATATTCTAATGATTCCTCCAGTCCATTCCCAAAGAGATCTTATTACCATTTATTCAAGCAAACAATATGGAAAGAGAGAAATTAATTCAAAATAAGCAAGAAAGGACAGTGAAAGAAAAGAAAGTTGGGGAAAATAAAAAGGATGAAATAAAATGGTAGAAATAAATTTTAAAATATTATTGATTATAGCAAATGTAAAATGGACAAGATGTTACAACTAAGTCAACATTTATCACAGTGGATTAAAAAATTATAAAACTAAATCCAATATAGCCTGTCAGTGAAACCTACAACTAAAACATAGGGTCACAGAATGCTTGAAAGTAAAGAACTGATAAAAAGATATGCTAGGTTCATATTAATAAAAGTGAAGGTGGCACAGCTATAATATCAGACAAATGAACTTCCTGGCAAAAAGCATTGCTATGGATATAATGGAAAACTCCATCACAATAAAAATATCAACTTTCCAGGGTAAAGCAAAAATTACAAACTTGAATATACCAGATAACATATCCACAAAATATATAAGGACAAAACTTGACAGAACTATTAGCAGAAACAGATTAATCCAATGTCACAGTGACAGATTTTAACATATCTCTTCTCATAATTGGTATATTCAACAGGAAAAAAGACAGAAAAGATCTCAAAATTGCATAAACAAGTTTTAAATAGTGGATAAAAACAGATCCCTGCACCCAACAGTTGGAGAAAACACTATTTTTTTAATATTCAAGGAAAGTTACAAACTTGATGACAATCTGGCAAGGAAGAAACTTTAGACAAATTTTAAGATCCATAATCTCTTTTCACAAGGTAGTAAAGTTTTAAGCTAATAATCAAAGGGAAAAATTATACTATATTTGGAAACTTATAAGCATATTTAAAAAAACTCATGTGTCAATGGAAAAATTAATAACAAATAGGCTACATATAAAAATTTCATCACAGAAATGAGAGATGGTACAAATTAACACATTATGAATGAGAGTGGGCACTTAACTACAAATGGTATGAGAATTGAAAAGATTGGGGTGACTTGATGGCTCAGTTGGTTAACCATCTGCCTATGGCTCAGGTCAATGTGGGATTGAGTCCACATCCATCTCTACATTCAGCAGGGATGTCCCTCTCCCCTCCCCACTTTGTGCTCTCTCTCTCTCTCTCTCAAATATATAAATATATTTATTTTTTAAGATTTTATTTATTTGACAGAGAGAGAGACAGCGAGAGAGGGAACACAAGCAGGGGGAGTGGGAGAGGAAGAAGCAGGCTTTCCGCCGATCAGGGAGGCTGATGTGTGGCTCCATCCCAGGACCCTGGGAGCATGACCTGAGCCAAAGGTAGACCCTTAATGACTGAGCCACTCAGGCGCCCCTCAAATATATAAATATCTTTTTAAAAATAAGCAAAAATTTTAAAAAATTGAAACGATTATAAAATTATGTAAATTAAAAACATTTTAAAAATTTGAAACGTTCATTTCTAGAAAATGTCCAAAAAGAAAAAGAAACAACTAGCAGTTCTTTGATCAGTGCATACATTGAATCTATAGTGAACAGGCTCACAAAGAAATGAGACCTTAAGAGTTGTACCCTACCAAACATAAAAGGAAGACACAAGTGTAATCTTTCATAAGCAATGCCAGGCAGGCTGTATTGTTTTCTATCCCTGTCTTGGCAAGTTACTTAACTGATTATGGATCACTATTGTCATTTATAAAATGGAAATAATAATGCAACCCACCTCATAAAGTGACCGTAAAGATTGAGTTAGTGCATATAAAGTGCTTTCATAAGAGTCTGGCACATATTAAGCACTTTGTAAGGGTTTATCATCATCATCATCATTATTATTATAGAAAAATCTTAATACCAACAAATGACAAGAACAGTATGGAAAAAGAAAAATCATAAACTAATCTCATCAAAAAAACGTAGACGCAAAACTCTAAAAATATAGTAAAAGCCTGTCATAACACCATTAAAACAGTCTGAAAATTCAGCTTTGTAAAATCAGAGGTTACATTATTACAAGGAAAAAACCAGGGTGTTCCTGCTGGGAGTTCCTGAAATCTGACTATTCAATCTATGTCTGTCCAGGTCCTGCCTGTAGTTTAATGCCGCCTGGTGAAAGTTGTCCACTCTGGCCTAAATACCAATGGGAATGATTCTGGGTTCTGTGACTATGTGGCAGAGATTTCCAGGACAGCAACAGGCCCAAGTATTGTCTTGGACCAATATACCCAAACAGCCAATTAGCCCGAAGATTCTTTTTTTTTTTTTTTTACCAGAAGATTCTTGAATGGTGACTTCATACCACATACAAAAATCAATTCCAGGGAAGTTAATGACCTTAAAAAGGCAAAATTATAAAACTTTTCAAAGATAATAAAAGAGACTATCTTCATGATCTCAGGGTAAGGAAGGATTTCTTAAATGAGGTAAAAGCACTAGCGTTAAAGCAAAATGTTGATAAAGTAGATGACAGTAAATTTAAGAACATCTGCTCGACAAAAGAGATTTAGAAAGGAAAGTATGATGAATAGAAAAGATTTACAACATACATAATTAATAAAGAACTAGTCTCCAGAATATATAGGGACTTTTTATGATAAGAAAAAGTCAATGACCTAAAAATAAAGTAAAGAGATATAAGAAAGTGATAATACTTATTTTCTTTGGAAGGTTTTTTCCTTTCACATTCGGTCTCCTTTTTCTTTTTCTTTCTCTCTCCCTCATGTACACACACACATGCACCTGAATCATTTTTTTCCTTATTATTTCATGAAAATAGAAATCAGAAAGGCATTGTTAAAATACAGATGCTCAGTTGTTGGCTAGTCTTCTCACTCACAAGTAAATGACTTACCCGCACATTAGCATTATCGTTTGCACTAATTAAATCAATTTACAATTCCCCAGCTAGCGGTAAAGGATTTTTAGAACAAATTTGCTTAAAAACCAAATACATAAATGTAAAAATCCATGGATGTCAACCTGTACCTTCTTTTTTCAACTCATTTCAAAATATGCTCTAAATAAACATCAAGGTTTAGGAAACACAATATAATAGGGAAGCCAATGCATGAAGTACCATGAAATAATATTTTCTCTTTCTTTGTGAACTTATAAAAAGTATCCCTCCACTGCCTCATGACAGATCTATAACCCCCATGCTAAAAAACTGGAATAAATACTATCTTAGGTTAATGGCACCCCTTAAGGGCATTGCTATTGTGTAATTAAATAGTGCACTCCTTTACCCATCACCTCTCAACACCTCAGTATGTACAAACTATCCATTTGGGGTTCAGGATACCCAATATCAACAATAAACTTAACCACAGATATATTGGACTCAAAACTGACTGTTTGTGGAATTGGAATTCATTAGGGTGCTCTAAATCATATCTTACAGGGTCTGGAGAATTCAGGCAGAAATCTTCAAACCTCCAATTAACTGTCTTTTCCTTATAAAATCTACCTGGTCTTCCCAGTCACAAGTAGATGCTCCATGCTCAGTGTTGTTATATGATCTTGTACATCACTGCATTAGAACTCAACTCACAGAACTCTCTTTATTCATTAAAATGTGTCCATGGAAATGAAATCTTTGAAGGCAAGAAACATGGGGTGCCTGTCTGGCTCAGTCATAGAGTATTTGATACTTGATCTCAGGGTCAGGAGTTCAAGCCTCACCTTGGATGAAGAGCCTACTTAAAACAACAACAACAACAACAACAACAAAACATGGGCCTGAAGGCAAGAACCATATAGTCTTTTTTTTAACATATCTTAGATTTTAACATGTTGCATGTCATAAATTAGATGAACAATAAATATACATTGAATCAAATCTGAGTTAGTTGTACTCTTTCCTAACCCTTGCCATGTATACCTTTTTCATGTTTGGATTTTTAGTTAAGAAAAATTAGTTAGCATTAATTAAGTGATTATAATATGTTAGGCTGAGTGTGTTAAACTTTTCAAATACAGTATCTCACTTAATCCTTACAGGAACCGTTCTTGTCAGTAGTAAGTTAAATTAGAAATAGCAATATGGAGGGGCACCTGGGTGGCTCAGTCGTTAAGCGTCTGCCTTCGGCTCAGGTCATGATCCCAGGGTCCTGGGATCGAGTCCCACATCGGGCCTCCTGCTCGGCGGGAAGCCTGCTTCTCCCTCTCCCACTCCCCCTGCTTGTGTTCCCTCTCTTGCTGTGTCTCTCTCTGTCAAATAAAATTAAAAAAAAATAAATAAATAGCAATATGGGAAAATCTTTTAGGTATACATACTTTAAGTTCTAATTAAATTATGCCATACTACATACAATTCACTAATAATAAATACATCATGCTAACCTACAGTTCTATTCAAGTGTTACAATAAATATTTGCAGATAATAGTCAATACTCATGTATGCTTATTTTAAAGATCTAGTTAGGTAGAAATAGTTGTGGACTTCCTAGGAGTAAGTGAAATAAGATCATAGCTTCATTCGCTTGCTTCTTTACCATACATAATACTAGTTCTCTCTGTCAATCAATCAATCAATCAATTTATGTATTTAAAACACTGGCTATTATCCAGTGTCTTTTTATTTTAACAACTTGAATTTCTATACATATTCCTGAACATTTAAAAATTTTAATCAGGTATATAATTTTTTATTTTAATATTTAAATAAATTGCTGTTTCAAAGCACTAAATAGACATCAAACATTCCACTCTAAAAGTAGAAATTTTCTATTAGTTGGCAATAACAAATTCATCCAGCAGGATATCAAATTCTGGGGGGGTTATATTTGGTTTTAAACTTGGCAAAATAAGTTTCCCCTCCTAGTTAGTATGTGTGTAGTATTAGTACCTTCATTGCAATGACCAACTTCATTGTAACTTTATCCATAATTTATTACAAAAGACCGCCTATATTTAGAATGTTGTAGGACCATAGGTCCAGTCTGCACCTTTTTAATGACACCAAAAGTAAACAAATGGCCCAATTCATCTATTATGTTGGTCCACTGACATATAAAATCAAAATTGATTTGTCTTATACCCTTGACGCTTTAAAAAGATATTACATTAATGAATGCTTCATTTGTCTACTTCTTAGTTTCAGCAAACAGCATTAATAAAATATGGACAAGAAGATTTGGTTTCCTAAATTTATCCTAAACTTAGGAAGTAATCAATTTCTAATAGTTAATATTAATTTTATGCTGGTGATATAGATGCAATTCCATGAAAGCATAAACCTAGACATAGTAATTTCTAAGAAATTAAAATTTTAAATGAACCATATTTTAAATATATAAAACTCATGGAAAATTCAGGCTTTACATAGTTATCCTTATAAAGCTGAGGTCTAAACGTGTACTGAAAACATTCATTGTTAAGTTGTTTCCAATAAAGAAACCAGGAGAATAAGAATGATCAAGAAATAAAATATATAACAAAAGTATAAAAAAAGAAGATAAGGTTTTCATTTTTGCTATGACAGATTTTAATTGTATGTGTGGTTTTATTGGATGACAATACCTAGTCAACCTTTAAAAATATTCATAATTTAATGTCCCTTTTTCTTGAAGTCTTCATCCTTGTGTTTTAACTCAAATTTAATAATAATTTTAAAGGATTAAGTATAAATTAGTTATTCTTATGCACTGCAATTATATTAATTTACCCAATACATAGCTCACAATATCATGGTGGATAGTAACAAATAGTCAAATATGCAATCTCCATCTAATATCCATTGTTGTTAAACCGCTATTGGTATTAAGAAAATCAACTATCACTCTGTGATAGATGAGTTAATGATGGTTATTTTGTCTTTTGGAAAGATATTCAATGTTGGTAAAACATGGCAATTAAACACACATTCTGACTTTAAAACAAGAGAGGACACAAGAAACAATGTTTTGTACATTGGACAATACAGGAATGAGGAATAACTATTTAAACAAACTCAACAAAGCCAAAAACTAAGTGTCTGCCTATAAGGATGGGGTTGAGGAAAGGGCTGGAGCACAGTCTTGAAAGCAGAATTTCAGGTCTAATTGAATGTAAGGGGATGACAGGCAGAAAATCTGTAAAAAAAAAAAAATAGAACTCTCAATCAGCTACCCCACTCAGTATAACTGAGTACCCCTCCCCATACACACACATACACACACACACACAAAATTGTGGATAAGCTCCCACCTCCTAAAAAACCTCTCAGAGTAATGAGATTGAACAAGTGATAATTTAAACTTGAGAGAATAGGCACTGATGAGGGCTGGTGGCCTCTACTAAAACCAGGAGGAGTTAGTGAAAATCTACCATTGGACAGTGAGTCCCCAACATCCTTTTTCTATATAGCCCCCACTGCCACACTAGGACATTAAAAATTCTTTTTTGGGGAAATTGACCCAAGAGAAATATTTTCAAATACTGACATAAAGTCTTTCTCAACGAAAGATATAGGTCCCTGCTCAATCATTTTACAGCAAAGCTCACCACTCAATAAGCTCTTCTCTGAACACACACACACACACCATTTTCAATAAGCTTATTAGTGCCCTACCTGTAAATATGGACAGGTAGTGTCTAATATGACAGAGACTAAAACTGTAAGAAAATAAAGGAACTTAGGAAATAACAACAATGAAGGGAAGAATAAAGCTTAAGTACAACTAAAATTTAATATCCACAAAAAATAATAGAAGCTGTAGTATCCATGGATTAAGAAAAATGTTTTTTTAGAAAAGGAGAATTTGGAGGAAAACATACTTTTAGAGACTAAAAATTTCATTATGAATGGGCTCACACAATTTTGGGGACTGGCAAGTCCAAAATCTGTAGGACAAGCTGGCAAGCTGAAAATTCAGTTAGAAGTTGATGTTGCAGTCTTGAATCCTAATTCTATAGGGCAGCAGGTTGGAAACTCAGGGAGGGTTTCTATGTTGCAGTCTTGAGGAGAATTCCTTCCTCATAGGAGAAACTCAGTCTTTGCTCTTAAGACCTTCAAGTGATTGGATGAGAGTATTAGGGAAGGTAATTTGCTTTACTCAAAGTCTATTGATTTAAATGTTAACCGCATCTAAAAAACAATTCACAATAACATCTAGACTTATGTTTGACCAAACAACTGGGTACCACAGCCTACCTCAGTTGGTACATAAAATTAACCATCACACCTACCTAGATTAACCAGTCAAAAATATCAAGACTCGTGAGCTTGTAACAAGAACATGTTCAGACCAGGCAAAATCTCAAAAATTTATCACCCATGTATTCTTTCTTGGAAGAGATGCACAACTGACAAAGAAAATAAAGAAAGATAAAGCCATGGTACTGTTAAGAGAGAGGGAGAGAAAGAGAGACAGAACAGGCCCCAAATGGAGTCACTTGTGCTAAGTTGCATGTCAGCTAACCAGGACTTAATACCTAACCGAATTGCAATTTCAACCTCTCCTGGGAATGTAATTTTAAATCAGTAAATCTGGAATTTCCTGGTCAGTACTAATGAGTTAATCTGCCTGATAGACTTCTTCCGTTCCCCCAAGAAAAATGAGGTAATCCATTATCTCCTTCTCCACTTCTGCCTATAAAAGCCTCCCATTTTGTTCAGCTCTTTGGAGCTCCTTTCTATTTGCTAAATGGGATGCTGCCCAATTCATGAATCACTGAATAAAGCCAATGTGATCTTTAAATTTACTCAGTTGAATTTTGTTTTTTAACAGTACCAAAACAAAACAAAACAAATCCCAAACTGTGAAAGAACCAAAAGCTGATGGTGAAGGAAAAATTCCAGGATAATAATAGAAGCCTAGGTATCACCCAATCTAATTGGAACAAGAAGACAGAGAGGTACAAGAAGGATACCTTCACCAGTCCCTCTCCAAAAGCGGATCAAATAGAATACCTGATGTTTCAGTTATGGGGGAGGGGGAAAATTCACACTTAAGTTAGAAAGCTTTTCATGGATTTTTTATGGGTATACAGAAAATCAAGATCTAACACAAAAGCTGCAATTATCAAAACAAAAGTGCTTAAGAAAAGATATGTGAATGTATTATATGGATTAATTGTAGTAGGTTTAACTCTCCCTCAAAATGTATCCATAATATCGGCATTTCTCAAAATCCCAACTGCATCCTGGTCCAAGCCATTTTCATCTCTTGCATGGATTCTTACAATAACATCCTAACTAGTCTCCCTGCTTTCAAACAATGCTTCCTACAATCTGTTAACAGAACAGCTAGAACAGTCCCAATTAACACATAAATCAGAACATATCAATCCAAGGGCGCCTGGGTGGTTCACATGGTTAAGCATCTGCCTTCGGCTCAAGTCATGATCTCCAGGTCCTGGGATCGAGTTCCATGTCGGGCTCCCAGCTCGGCGGGGAGTCGGCTTCTCCCTCTGCCTGCTGCTCCCCATGCTATGCTCTCTGTCTCTCTCTCTCTCTGAAGTGAATAAATAAAATCTTAAAAAAAAAAAAAGAATTAAAAAAAAGAACATATCAATCCATATCTCAAAATCCTCCCAGGCTTTCCACTTCTCTCAAAGTAAATGCCAAAACCCCCATAATGGTCTACAGAGCCCAACACAATGTGGCCCTCTTGCTGAAACTCTAAACTCAACTTCTTGCTACCTCCTCTCACTCTTCTTGTCCCACAACACTGTTTTTATTGAACACCCAGTCACACTTCCACCTCAGAGCCTTTGCCCTGACTATTCCCTTGTTCAGGAGTGTCTACCCCTTAGCTCTCTGGATGGCCCACTCCTCACCTCCTGAAAGTATTTGCTACATGTCATCTTCTCAAAGTCTATCTGCCTATCTCCATTTAAAATTGCAAGGCATTCTCAACAACCAATTCCTATTAACTGGCTCTATTTTTTTCCTTTAGTACTTGCCTTCTGCAAATTTACCATATAATTTATTCATTTATCATGTTTATTTTTTTCTGTCTTCTCTAAAACACGGCCTCAATAAAAGCACAGATTTTTGTCTGTTCTGTTAAAGATGTACCTTTAGTATCTAGAAAATTTTATGGAACATTATAAGCATACAATAACTATTCACTGAGTGAAAGAGTGAATGATATGTACACAGGAATACTCATATCAATCCTGAATACTGACTTAACTAAAATTTACTTATCTCCAAAATATATCTTTGAGAGAATAGGAGGGAAAATACAAAGTGGAGGTAGGTAATGTAAGAAAGCTAAATCCC